GACCAGGACAGAGAGCCCAGGGATCGAACCGGCAACCTTCCGGTTACAGATGCGATTCCCAACCCCCTGAGCCACAGTCACCCCAAACATACATACATATATACCTGTGAACTCACCAAAACAGAGTAATTATTACTAATTAATAAAATAAAATGAAAATTCTAACAGCTGCAGTCAGTGATCTCACCTCAGAATCTCCAGTTGACAGTTTGGACTCTCCATTCCAGCACACAGAAGCTTCACTGCTGAATCTGTCAGGACGTTCAGACTCAGATCAAGGTCTGTGAGATGGGAGGGGTTGCACTTCAGAGCTGAGGCCACAACTTCACAGTCAGTCTCTGAGAGTTCCAAGCCCGAAAGTCTGGGACGAAGCATACATTATGAATGCGAACATAAATTTGGAAATAATGAAAACAAACAATTCAAATAAATAAAGACATAATCTCAAGAACAATGAATGGATAAAAGCATTGTACATATACAACTAAATTGTGGATCACAACAATACTTTCTGACTGTCTTGATTTTCAACATGTCACTTAATAAAAATATGTTAACAATAGTGAAATAAATTCATTATGTGTATAATTTCAACAGAACCATCTTGAGATCATTTGAGACAAAATCAAACTGGCACATTTAAAATAAAGAAGCGGAGCACCATTTGAAGAAAAATTAAAAGGTTAATCTAAATTACTAATCTACATTGATTAATGATGTTAATGATAATATAATCACCTCTGAACTCACCGAAACTTTCTGCAGTTCCTCACAGCTGGAATCAGTCTACGTTTTCCCTCATCTGATGTGTTGTACACCCTCAAATCTAGCTCATCCAGAACCTCCTCTGACATCTGCAGCATGAAGGCCAGAGCTGAGCAGTGGATCTCAGAGAGTTCCTTCTTTGATCTATTCTCTGACTTCAGGAACTCTTGAATCTCCTGATGTACTGAGAGGTCGTTCATCTCCATCAGACAGTGGAAGATGTTGATGCTTCTGTCAGGAGAGATTTTATAACTGTTCATCTTCTTCAGGTTGTTGATGACTCTCTGGATGGTGTCTGGACTGTTCTCTATTTGACCCAGAAGACCTCTTAAGAGTCGCTGGTTGGACTCCAGACAGAGGCCATGAAGGAAGCGAACAAACAGGTCCAGGTGGCCATTTTTACTTTTAAGGGATTTTTCTGTGACTCTTTTTAGAAACAAATCCAGAACTGCAACACTGTTTTTATGTTTCCAGGCTTTTCCCAGGAAGTTCTTCAGCACATCTGTCTTCCTGTTGGTGTGACAGTGGAACATGTAGACTGCAGCCAGAAACTCTTGAATGCTCAGATGAACAAAGCAGTAGACCATTTCTGAAAACATTTCACACTTATCTCTCTTAAAAATCTGTGTGAAAACTCCTGAGTACTTTGAGGCATCTCTGATATCAATGCCACACTCCGTTAGGTCCGATTCATAGAAGATCAGGTTTCCTTTCTGCAGCTGATCAAAAGCCAGTTTTCCTAAAGACTCGATCATCTTTCTGTTCTCTGGACTCCAGTGTTTATCTGTCTCAGATCTTCCTTCATACTTGTCATTCTTCACTCTTAAGTTAATCACCACAAGGCGTAGGTACAGCTCTGTGAGGCTCTTAGGCAGATCTCTGTTGTCACTCGTTTTCAGCTCTTGTTCAAGAACTGTAGCAGTGATCCAGCAGAAGACTGGGATGTGGCACATGATGTGGAGGCTTCGTGATGTCTTCATGTGGGAGATGATCCTGCTGGCCAGCTCCTCATCTCTAAATCTCTTCCTGAAGTACTCCTCTTTCTGTTGGTCAGTGAACCCTCTGACCTCTGTCACCATGCCAACACAGTCAGGAGGGATCTGATTGGCTGCTGCAGGTCGTGTGGTTATCCAGAGGCGAGCAGAGGGAAGCAGTTTCCCCCTGATGAGGTTTATCAGCACCACATCCACCGAGGTGGACTTTCTGGGGTCAGTTAGGATTGTAGTTTTGTGGAAGTTGAGAGGAGGTCGACACTCATCCAGACCATCAAAGATGAACACAACTTGGAAGTCTTCAAAGCTGCAGATTCGTTCTTCTTTGATTTCATAAAAGAAGTGATGAACAAGTTCCACCAAGCTAAACTTTTTCTCTTTTAGCAGATTCAGCTCTCTGAAAGTGAATGGAAATATCAACTGTATGTCCTGGTTGGCTTTGTCTTCAGCCCAATCCAGGGTGTATTTCTGTGTGAGGACTGTTTTCCCAATGCCAGATACTCCCATTGTCAGAACTGTTCTTACTGGTGCTTTTCTTCCAGGTGGGAGTTTAAAGATTTCTTCTTGTCGGATTTTTGTTTTTGGTCTAGCTGGTTTCCTGGATGCTGTTTCAGTCTGTCTGACCTCATGTTCAACATTGACCTCTGCTGTCTCTCCCTCTGTGATGTAGAGCTCTGTGTAGATCTCACTCAGTTGGGCTTTGATTCCTGCTCTAGCAATCCCCTCAGATAGACACTGGAACTTCTTTTTCAGCTTTGACTTGAGTTTAGGTTGACATTTTTGAATAATCTCTGAATGAAATAGCAACAGATAAGATCATCTGTCAGTAAAGGATAAGTCTATACAGTATCAGGAAAAAGTTATTCACTTGCATTTATAGATTAATCAATTGTAAAAACTTATAAGAACATCATTTAACTTAGAATTAAGAACTAATGTGTTGTATTTTATGTAAGTGTACGAAATAACAGCTGTTGAAAATAGCTGAATACTATGGGGTTGTTGTTGCTTTCTGTAGCCCTATAGCTGACATTAAAGCTACTTAGTCATTCAGAAAGCAAGCAAGCAATTTATTTATATACAGTAGCACTTTTGACATGATCCTGGGTCATGACAAACAACTCCCAACTGAAAACAAAGTTCTGTACACTTGACATTGCAAATGAAAAATGTTAAATATATTAAAATAAATTTAAAAAATACCATCCGCATATTAAATTACTTTAAAACATTAAAATCATGGCCAAACTGTGTAAAAGGGGACGATATAAATATTTTTTATTATTGATTGACTATATATGCAGGAGAATCTGAATTCTGTTCTTCTCTCACCTTACTATAAAGTTTGAGGCGACTGGTGTTTGGCACTATATAAATAAAATTGAATTGAATTGAATTGAAAATTGAAAGTTGAGAATCAGGAAAGGTAAAGGAGACTAGGAAAATATATACAGTGGCATGCAAAAGATTGGGCAACCTTGTTAATAGTCATTATTTTCCATGGCCTACTCAATAGTCGTGGGACATTCTTATGGTCCTGGGTTGGTGACGCCGTGTTTTGATTATGCACTTTTATTTTTTGTGATCATTGTGTTTTGGGTTTCAGTTCTGTATTTCTAGCTCTCCTGTTCTCCTTCATTTGAGATTTCTAGTGGTTAGGTTTTGATTCCTGTGCCCCTCAGGTTCAGTGTATGTTTAGTTCTGTCCTCGTGTTTGTCTTCTCATTCCCCAATCAGTTGTGTCTCATGTCAATGCTGTCTCTATACTGTTCGGTGTCTAGTCTGGGTCTCTGTGTCTGTCGTGTATTTTCTGGCTTTTTGTTGACAGTTCATCTCTATATTCAGCCTCTGTCCCCTGTCTCATCTGTGCATGTTAGTCCCCTGTCCTCCCCTGCTTGGTGTCGTGTCGTACCTTCATATCTGCCTCTTTTGTTCTGTTCATCATGTTGTTTTTAGTTCAGTTCTGTATCAATCAATCAATCAATCAATCAATCAATCAAAGCTTTATTTATCACAAGCAGGTTGCCCTGCAGTGAAATGGGACCCCCCCGACCTTACACACATAACACAGACATCACATGGGGTTACAAGTCGGAGATCGGTAGTGTTACAGGAAAAAAAAACACTGAAATGTACACAACAACGGGAGGGTACAAGAGGAAAAAAAGAGACCTCCACTCATGCTGTGCTTCCACGGTAGGACAGCACGAGAACAGGTAACAAAAAAACTCCTCTGCACAAAAAAGCACATGAATGGCCACAGCACAATATTGTGAAACATGTTTGACCCAGAAGACCTCTTGTGTTAGTGTGACAGACATGACAAGCCACAGGGTAGGGTAGGGGATATCAACACACCATAACACAATAAAAACAGTGTGTACATCTGATCTGGGACTGCTGCAGTCTTTCGACTGCGCCGCCAGCTGACCCGATGTCCACATCATGGGGGAAGGCGTTGGAAGGGGAGGGGGAATGTGTGAGTGCTTATCAGTGTAAGTGCATGTGTGTGTGTGTCCAGAGTTCAGCTGAGACAGTGTCCTTCACCTTATCAGGCTAAGTAAACAGTCTTCCAGCCAACCCAGGTGGCCTTGCGTGGGATGGGAAGAATAGTCATCACACAGTCGTTATCAGGGAGTTGTTGTTCGGTTCCAGCCTTGGGCCTGCGCAGCTGGCGCCGTGGTGTCCATATGTTGAATATTGTTGATTTCTCCTTTATGCAAGCAGCTCCGAATTTCAAGCTGTTCTTTAACACTCTGACACTGGTCTCTTGATCTCCTGTTGGAGAGCCGCGAGCCTCCCCATGATGGTATCAAACTTCTGTTCCGTGGTGTTGTCATTCTTTTGATTCTGAGACCCCACAACTGCAGTGAGCTGTTCTGCGATGTGATCCAACTTTCGCTCAAGGGTGTCATTTTGAGCAGGCCTCTCTCTGATGTATCCCACCATATGCTCAATGTTGTTATTTTGAGTCTTCACGGCAGCTGTAAGCGTCTCCAAGGTGTTAACCATGCTGCGTTCGTTGTGAGAGGTCACGCCTTGTCCCATCACTTCAATTCTAGTGGTCAGCCTTGGGGGGGGTTTGAACAGCTGGTACCGCTCTCTTATTTCTCCGATAAATCAGGGCCAAGCCAGCTCCGATCAGCAAGAACCCTGTTATCATGGTTCCGAATAGGTAGATATCTTCAGCGTCCTCGATCGACAGTCCCACCAGGCACATGACCCTCCAGGTCTGCCACCCGTCCATCATGGGAAAGTCCCTCCAGGGCACACGGGCTCTCCCAAGCCCAGACTTCTCATTGAGAAAAGGGTGTCAATAGCATTGAGAGACCAGTTGATCAAATCCATAATTATCTTTTAGGTTTTAGAGAACGACAGTGAGAGACTGTTCCAGGGACAGTAATGCACACGAGACAAGACAAGGACACAGAGGCTAAGCAGGGAAGATAAGGGTAAGGAGAGGAGAAAAAGTGCGACCGCCTTCGCTGAGAGCCAAAGGAGTATTTACTAGTGCCAACAACAAAGATGAGGTTTATTGAGATTAAATTTTAGTCTCTACGAGTCTGCATTTGGCTGCTCCATATTTGCCTGCCTGCACACAGCCTTGACAAAATCCATACAGGACATTATATCTTTTACCTCCCATCCAAGGGGGGAGAAGTGTCACGGTCCCCGTACCTGACCGGCTGGCCCAATATGGCTACATATGTTTGTTTGTGTTGAATCTCTCTCTCTTCAGTCTCACCGCCTGGCTGGAGTTAATTGCTGGCTCTGCCTCTGGCTGCACACCTGCAAGCAATCTATGACTCTTCACTCAATCCTCATTACTTAAGGCAGCAACTAGGAGCACCTCCTCGCTGGATTATTGTGAAACCCATGTCAGTTTACTCAAGTTTTCAGGCTTTCTTTTGAGTTGCCTTTCAAGTGTTTTTCTCCTTTGATGTTGTTCTTTCCATCTCGGTGCAGACACTGCTCGCTGGCCGAGGGTTTGCAGTTGAAGCCTACAAGTTCCGTGGTGAGTCGTCGAATCGCTGGTGTGGAGAAAATTCGTGGGAGGAGTTTGGTGTTGTGAAAAGATTCTTATATTTCGTTCTGGATTTCCTCGTGATCCCTGGTAATCTTGGACTATTTCCCAGTGTGGTGGAGAGGATTACTGTGTTTCTTTTGTACTAACAATTCTTGCGTTTGTTTCTGGATTTCATCATGACCTTGGTGACCTTGGACTTTTCCTTCACCCCTGAGCTTTTATATATTACACGTGTTGTGTAAATAAAAGAACTTGTCTTTCGTAGTTCAGTCTGTATCTGAATCTTTCCAGTGGCCCGTGACAAGAAGAGTCTTTCTACTTAAGTAAAATAGCTCATCTGGCCAGCAGTAATGAAAAATGTAATGCTCTGAGTCTGAAGTTGGGCAACTTCAAGTTGGACCGCACCAAACATAACACAGAGTGGCTCTGGTTTAATTTGATGCCATAGGACTTAAACTGAATGAGTTTGTGTCAAGCGCAAATTGATATATTGTGAAACTGGCAGAGGATTCTGATGGCTAAAGATCCAAATGGGACAGGCAAAAAAAAAAAGGAAACAGGCAAGCTCTCTGCTTCTGAGTCTCTAAGCTAAGATAACAGGCAGCCGGTGGGAGTTTCAAGAATAACTGAGTGAAACTGAGTGCATCTCTTTAATGTTTTTTTTTTTTTTTTTTTTTTTTT